TCTTTGTTTAATGTTTACCACTTTCAGACCATGTGTCATTCCCTAGAGTATCATTTCTTTGTTTAGCGGTGTATCCTTTCTTTGTTTATAAACGCGCAAACGTATGACCACATTTAATGTATTTGCATTCTTCTAGTGTGGACGGTGGGCCTAACCGAATAAATATAAATTCGGATTCAAATTTATTCGGCATAGTGCTGACGGGGCCTAAGTTAAACCGACACATTTCGATAGGAAGCTGGATGGTTTTATCAAATAAGGGGTGCAAACGCTCGTTTGGCAGGAAAAAAACCCGCCGTGCACTGAAGTATGCGAATACATTTGATGTGGTCACACTTTTACACGTTGCGCTATATAACGGTTTCGTATGAGAAGTCACATGAAAATGGCCGATACGACTCAAATAAATATATGTTATTTTCAGAGAGTAACACGTGGTCATACATTGACACATGGACACAAGGTGAAGAGGTCTATAATGGACGAAATCGTCCTTACGATTATGAAGTCGTGAGTCGGAAAACACAAAGCCAGGCGTAAAAACGTCCACCAAAACCCTATTTTTTCATGATTGCAAGTTATACGATTTCGCGCTTGACACGGAAGCAAGACAAACTCGAGGATATCCGAGTAGATCGATACAGAGACGCTTGACTAAGGGACGGACCATTAGATTTTTGAGGGAGGAAAGGGGGGGGGTTGGGCAATTTATTTTGTGCAGGATTTTTTTTTTTTTTTTGAAATTTTTTTCTAGCGCTTTTCTTATGCACGATTATTTTTTCACTCTTTAGAGCTGTGCTTGACATTTCTTTGGGTTTTTGCCCAACCCCCACCCTCAAAAATCTAATGGTCCGTCCCTAAGCCGTAGCAAAGATTTGTCGCTGCGAACGCAACTAAATGCAGAAGCCTTGGCCATGAAACTAGATGGAGTATGTTTCTGCTAATATTCACTTGGACAACTTTTGAAATTTGCCGAAATGGTTAACTTTTTTCCCTCTCTTTTTTTCGTTTTGTGGTACATCAAAGCCGGTCATTAAGGTCCTTGAGAAAAAATTGCCTGTTTGTTTTTTAATAAACCATGTCAGACCGCAAACTCTTGGAGACTCGAACGGTGCTGAAAACGCAAGGCTAGTCGACTCCCAATATAACCATCGCCCTGATAYTATGAGATTCTGCGCATGCGCGCTTTCAAATTAAATATCCTAGTTATGCTTAGCTCTTTTTCCTTTGGTATACCCAGTCCATCTTACTGCAGTCGTTTTGAATAAAGGATCATTGTCAATACCACTTAGAAAATGCAATAAACTAACATGTAAAGTGTGGTAGTCCCAACGAGCTAAGTTCGGAGCAGCTTGAAAAGAAACGTGTCGAAGATCATAAAACGTCCCAAAACCGGCGTCGAACATAAGAAGTAGCTTTTTCAGCGACTTCATCCCATCATTAAACAGCTCCAAGGCATCCTTTAGCTGATCTTTCGGAGCTGCTAACGTCAAATCATGTAGCCCAATGAGTGAATAAATAAAACCATTAAGAACGTATAAAGAGGGTGTAGTAGGATATTCCTCATACCAGTGGTATTTGTCCATAAATGTGGCCCTAACGCCGCCATTTTCGGAGGCTACACGATAGAGCGAAGTGGCTCGTAAAGCTGCTTTAAGGTAAGTTGTGTTTTTAGTAAAATAATACGCGCGGGTTAAAAGCGACATGGCCTGGCCTTGCGCCATGGCTGAGTACCAACCGGGTTTGATTTCTAAACCATCAAGAATCTTTCTCTTCACCGAAATGGGCCAGCCACCTTTGTCGTCTTGGTAACGAACGAGCCAATCAGCTGCAGCCATGAAGAAGTCGACTCTAGCTGTACGACTTAGAGTTATATTGTCAATCATTCCACTCCCATGAAGAATAATACTCTGTATGTCCGTCACTATTAATTTTGAAGTTGTTTTGGGTTTCTTGGAAAGACCATAAATGATGCGCAAACCTTTTCTTAAATCTGTGTCGAGATTTCTAGTTATCTTTCGCCAACCTTCTTGACTTCCCAAACCCAAGAAAATGTCATTCCCTTCGACGTCTATCAATTTGTTATCATTCGTGTAGTGAATGACATGTTGGACGGCATTGTTGGTTTCTATGGACACGGAGACACGCCCTGGACCGAATAGCTTCAGATTGAAAGACAGGATATATTCCTTGGTGGAACTGTCCAGGTGCAGGACCACTCCCTCGCCATGTAAATCTGCAATGTTTAAAAAAACCGGTTTGGTAGGTTTAGAACCAGTTTTATATCTCTGCGACTTGAAGAGCACCAGATGTTTGGCCTCAAAAAAAAAAACGCACTTGCGTGGGGGAAAAAAATTAAAAAAAAAAAAAGGAGAAAGAAACCAAATTCTGTGTCGCAAGATGTAAAGCGCATCGGTAATTTTCAATTTTCTTACACCGACGTTAAAGAGTGCGATTTTACCGGCTAAATGCTACAAAGAAAAGTTCAGATATTTTGAATTTTACGTATAAAATGTTTCAATGCTTGAAAACACTGCTGCCGCTGTTGCTACGTCGCATGTACGCAATGCAACTTTTCCTAGCGTTCGCAAAACCAAAAAAATCTCAAATTGCGTTACTAACGAGCAAAACTTTCTGTGTGCATCGAACAGCCTTGGTTATAATGTATATTATCATCTTAATGTATCAAATAAATGTAGATACGAGTTGATACTATTACAACACAACTGACACCAATTATGTAAAATATTCACGAACAGCCTTAGTTATAAAGCCTTAATTATATCTATATTAATGTGAAAGATAAATGTAGATACAAATTAATGCTATTACATCACAACTGACACCAATTATGTAAAATATTCACGAACAGCCTTAGTTATAAAGCCTTAATTATATCTATATTAATGTGAAAGATAAATGTTGATACGAATTGATACTATTACAACACAACTGACCTCAATTATGCAAAATATTTCAAAAAATATATAGCTTGAGCAAAAACCGGCAGCCATTTGATACTCTATATGAGACACTCAATGACATTAGCACTAAGCAGTGACATAAAAATCCCTTTAGGGCATCTTGGCTAAATGATATGTCTAGTAACTAAACCTTCAATACCTAATACCTCAATCCATTAGCTCCCCAAAGTTGCATTCAAGAGATTTGAAATTATTAAGCTGATTATCCTTCTTCCGTAATAATTGTTAGGATAAGAAAGAGTTGAAAAGAAAAAGCCAGAATCTCATAAAGACCTCTAAAACATATATTGGTAATTTGTTTTTGACTCAGAATAGGTATACAGCTATTAAAAAAAAAGATGAAGGAGTGAATGGCGATAGGCAATGAATGATGAGGTATAGTAGATAGGTTATTTTAAGATCAAAAAATAGCTGGTATGATTGATGCTTGTTATTGAAATTCTTGTCAAGAACACATAGGCTATTTTTGAGATATTTAGTGTTGTTTGTAGTTGACAAAACAATTTAAAACATCTCAATTAGCCTTGTTTCGATGAATTACCACAGTTCCTTAGGGTTGTGCAATTGTCAATCACAAATCGTCATTCCCCAAGGCCCTTCAACCTTTGAAATAGCTGAAATAGCTGTATCTCAGAAATATGTATGCTTGAAAAGGTTAAGGTGGAATAGGACATCCGTCTTTCTACCAAATGGAGTTGAGTATTCCCTTGATAACAATGGAACAAACTCCCCCCCCCCCCCAAAGAAAAAAAACTTTAAATACTCCTTCAATTCTTGTGCTATGCATTATGGTTGAGCATTCCACACACCATAATGATAGTGAGGTGATCAGTTACAAGCTGTCTTTATTATACTTCCTTTCTTTAGTTTTTCCTTTCCTTTTACTTTTTATCTCATCTCCTTTTTCCCTTCTTCTCCATTCCATTTCACTAATTTATCTTTCTTTTCCTTTTTCTTTTGAGCAATCCCAACTTCGTAATGATGAAGTGAGGTGAAGTTACTGTCTTTGTTACCTTTCCTTTCTTTTGATTTTACCTTTTACTTTTCATTTTTTCTTCATGTTTTTCTCTCTCTCCTTACTTCGACATTCCATTTCATTATTTTATCTTTCTTTTCCATTTTCTTATTTCCTTCATTATTTAACCTTTCTCTATCCCTCCCATTTCTTTACCCCCCCCCCCCTCTCCCTCTCTCTCTTTCTTTCTTGATTATTTTGGCTTTGTACTAGTAACTAGCATTAGCATGTTGATTGATCAATGCACCCAAAAGCCTCAATATATATTAATTCATTAGTATCCCACTGTGCTACACCATTAACTTAGAATAAACATTTATTTCCATTAGATTAAAAATCCAATAATAATTGTTCCAAAAGCACCCCTGCCAAGCTCTAGAACATTTTTCTTTCAGTATCCGCACACATGAACCAAATTGTATGGTCTAAAAATTATGCAAAACTAAAATGCTTCCACATGTTCCTATTTTTTAGACTTTATGCATTTCAACACTGAAATTAAAAATGCATTTAATAACTATCAGCTTGTGTCTCAACAGGTTTGGGCATTTCTGTTTCTGATTTGGTACAAAAGTTTGAATATCACATGAGACCCTAAAGGCTCAGAGATTAAAAATATAATACTTAATACCTAATGAAAAAAAGGCCTATTTCAAATTAGATAGGCAGAAAGATAGATGCAATGACTTTTGCACATGAGTCCTTGTTTGAAAATTCGTTTAAAATCTGGCACTCACTAAAAAGGGCGCCCACGAAAACAAATTAGTACAAGGTAAAAAATAAAATGAAAACAAAAACCTGAAAACAAAACACCTTCAGAAATATTTTATAACGTGCTTAGGAAGTTTCATTTTCCCCATTTATTTTTTTGGGAGGGTAAAACAGAAATGAATTTCAGTTTTAGGATAAGCCCTCATTAAAGAGCTTTTCCATCAAGTTTAACCTTGGAGTCAACCAAGGAACGTCTTAAAAAGCTTAAATTACGAATGCTCTAGACAAGATCATTATCTTAAAAATCATTGAAGAGTTATGTGCCTTTATGGACTTAGAAAAGAAGAGTATTACAAATAAAGCAAGCCAATAATAATAAAAAAAATTGATTAAGAAACCTGGACTTTATAACGATGTTACAAGCCGAGTACAAGTCGTCCAACGATTTAACTGTGAATTAGCACCACGTATGCCACTTGAGTTTTTTTTAAACTGTGTCTACTGCATGTTTGTACATAGTACAACTCATTGTTGGTCTAATTTAAGTTTATAAAAAAAGACCCTTTCTGTCCGATTAACCAGTTTGCACTCTTTACGGATTAGAATTAACGCTTAGACGTGTAAAAAGGTATAGACCAAACTTAACCCCGAGGTGGCTTTTCAAAAACCTGAATGAATGGAATTCCTTGCTCAGTCATTAATCAACTAAATTAACTCGCAAGACAAAAAGTTTAATCGATAGGACTTGAGTATTCTTAGCATTTGTGTGTATCTTAGATTTAATGCTTAACAAAGTACAATATTGTGACAGTTTAATGTCTCGAATGACAGTTTAATGTCTAAAGGTTTTTCAAGTACATTGTGAAGATCGCAACGTACGCGCGTGAGTATATAACGCGGGTGTAAAATTTATAATTGGCCTACAAATATCGTGGATGCCTACTGCTGTTATATCCACTGTGAATTGATGTAAGGCACGACTTGAACACTACAGAAACAACCCAACGCTTACCTGAAGTAAAAAACTTTATAACTCTTGAATTCCGCTCTTTATCGTAGATATTTTCGACTTTGTTCGGCGAGTTTGCGACCCAGTTCTGTTCTGACTCGGGTCCCGCTTCGCCGTCCTCGAAAACTCTGACTTTTCCTCTTGAGTTTCGCTCAACTTGGAACATGCTATAATGAGATAGACCATACTGCGCTATTTGTATAGGATAGAAGTGGCCCTTAGGATTCCATTGAGACGACACCGGGACCTCTTCTCGGCCACTTATACACAAGACCCTCTGTCTCCCTTCGACGTGATAACTCTGAAACCATAGGAAAGGTCCTTTTGGGTCATATTTATGTTTGGATTCGTGGATTTCTGAATAAGAGTGTCGCCACTCCAAGACCTTCTTGTTATCAACCTTTTGCACATCTCCGTAGATCTCAAAGTAGTTCTTAACGAAGGAAAACGGTACGTACGGCTCGTCAGAATCAGAATCTAGGCGTCCTTCAACTTTTGTTTCACCCCCATTGACGATAACATCTATAGGTTGGAATGGTATTCCTTTGGGGCAGTTTGCTTGAAGTTTTTGCTCTCGTTCTTTCTCCTCGGCATATTCTTGATCCTCTCGCTCTCGCAGAGCCTTGGACACTAGATCCGCACAGTAAATCTGAGGATCTGGATTGAGTTGGTCGAGATTGTCGTCTCTTTGCGCCAGTACAGGCAACGCAGCTCTAGGTATTCGACAATTATACCAAGCAAAGAGAAGAGTCAGAAGCGAGCTCGTAACACAAGCGAATATAAATTTTGGAGTTGGCCTACAGAAGAAAGCAGTTGCCAGTCGCATACTCAAGGAACTGAGAAGCAATCTTTCTAGAAAGTTTGCTGTTGTTTGGGAACAGAGAGGTTTTCTTCGTCAACACCCTCGCATGTGTTTTGGATAAGATACTGTTGTGGTTCATCCGCCATATTGAATAGCAGTACTAGTGCCAGGGCTGACCGTGAGCTACACCTTGTCTACTTCCGTTTCCGGTTCATGAAGACGTAGACAGAGACACTCCAACAAACCCCCACAGAAAGTATCGTTAAAATATCTTCAGGCATTTATGTTTATGAGCTCGGTCGAGGTCACAAATACATAGTTTAGAGTGGATCTTTTTAGCAGCCTGTGCTGAAATAGCAGAGGAGGGAATGGTAGGGGAGGGGAGGGGGGGGGGGGGGGNGGGGAGAGGAGAGGAGAGGAGAGGAGAGCTGGCTTATTTCCTCTGATTTCCAAACAGATTTTAATTCCAAAGTTTAGAAAGCATTATAGTAATTATTTTTTTAAAATTGAATTTAATAGCAGGAAAAAAACCTGTCTGGCCTCGGCGGTAAAGAACTGTAGAAAATACTGAAATGATAATACAAAAAAACTTCCTTGTTTCCTTTGAAAAACTCCAGCTCAAAATTAATTTCAAGCTCTTTTTTGAAGGAAGTAACAAAGACATTAAATATTTTGAAGCTATTTCTACGCTTGCCTCTTTTTAAATATATTAAAGTAATAATAACTAGCCAAATAAACTGTAGATAGCACAAAAGCACCACCCAGAGATATAGATATCAATACAGCGTAAATCTTAGGAATTTCAAAATTATTATGTTTGGAGAGTTTCATGGAGTTATGTCTCCTGACCACCATGCATTTCGTAGTTCCTGACTCAGTTTTGTTGCAATAAATTGTTTCTGAAGGAAGGTCTGCTGGTTGGTTTGGAGTTTCTGACCTCGTAGAAGACGTACGACTAAAATATGACAGGAATAATAAATAATCGTTACTTAAAATTGCAATTCTTTCAATTTTTCATCATTCTTTTTTTTTTTTTTTCATTAATTTTTTTTTTTTTTTTTTTTTTTTTCATTATTTTTTTCATATTAAAATAAGAAAACTAATTAGAAAGTATTTGTGTTTTAGAATAAGATGGAAGTGGAGGAATGAGCAGATCGGTTTACGAAGCCAAAAGGGACCGTCGTCATACCGAATGATTTGCAATTGAAACTAAAAGAGGTTGAAAGAACAATCGGGAAGATAAAATATCTTTTAAGTCGAGGGTTGACCAGTAATTTTTCGGTAAATTACAAGTTTTTAACGGGACAAAAATGTTTTTTTTTTATGGAGCTATTCTCTTACACCAAGGGCACAAGATTAAAAACTTAGGCAAAGAAAAACTTAGGTACTAAGGTAAAACCAAAGGTAAAGATGCTATTAAGATATCATTCAGAACTTACTTTTTATCGCTGAGAGCTTCCTCATGCACGTCCAAAAATGGTACTCTGTCGATCTTTGCGCTTTTTGCTGTGACGAAATCTTTTATCGATTCTTTCGACTCGTATTTTTTATGGTTCGTGTTATCATTTCTGCTTTCTGTTCCTTCTTTGCTAAAGCTTTTCTTTCTTGGCTTTGCTGCTTCTTTTAAAGCAGTTTTATCATTGCTTTTCAGCTTTGAGTTGTTCGTGTTTTCTTCTTCTTTTTGAACAACAGTGTTTGACATTTCTTTCCCAGCCGTTTCTTTTAATTTATCAACAAGATTACTGGCAGTTTTCATATTTTTGCTAAGTTTAGAGTTATTTTTTCGGTTTTGAAAAGAAAATCTCTTGGGTATTCCTGGACAGGTTTTCCTTTGAATGTCGTCTTGGTAAATATTAAATTCAATCGCCATATTTTCTTTTATACATCTACCATTTCCATTACATCTTTCCTCACTGCATTTCTCACTTTCTTGTTCAGTGTTTTTAAAATAGGGTCCAAGGTGAGTTTGGATGTAGTCGTTTAACTTACGGCAGATTTCAGGGGAAGTGTTTTCGTCGCGTCTATTTCCCCACATAACGATACCAGCTGCGCCGAAATCTGCTGCTTGCCCAATGGTATTGTATAGGTCCACCTGGGTATTGAACAATATAAATAACAGATGGATAAATGGATGCATGCATGCATGGAGGGAGGGAGGGATTTGATACGTGGATGCATGCATGCATGGATGCAGGGATAAAGGGATAAAGGGATAAAGGGATGCATGGTTGCATGGTTGCATGGTTGCAGAAAGAAAAAACGAAAGAAAAGAAAGAAAGATAGCAATCTAGCATGCAACAGAGGAAAAAAGAGTAGCGAAAACAGTTTTACATCTAGAGCAGCAGTGAAAGGAATTAGAATTGTTGCATCGTCTGCCTCTGCTGTACCGGAAATTAGCTTATATAAATATAAAACAAATAAAAACTTCATGTTAAGCAGAAACTTAGACGTACGTTAGTAAGAAAGTCGTAATTCAGTGGATTTTTTTCGTAGATGAGTCTGAAGTACGGAAAAATTGGTAAGGACGATCCTTTCTTTGAGTACTTCTCTCTCAACCTCAGTGTCTCCAAAAGACGTCCTCTGACAAATGCGCCATTTGTTGGTGAGTTTTCTGGAAGGTAGATGGAAGGAAATAGAGCCGTGCTGTCAGAAAACATCCACTGAAGTCTATCGTTGAAGTCTTTGTGCTGGGAATTAAAAAGAAAAAAAACATAAAATCACTAAGCTAAGTAACACTGCTGTTCGTTTATGTTGTTGTTTTTTTCATGACGACCGTGTCTTACATATCTATAATGTGTAGTTTTTGTAACTAAAGCCTTGATCATTTGGGGAAGCTCGTAACGGTGGAGCACTCGCCTCTTATTGATTCGTCCCGGGTTCGATTCTCGGGCTCGGTGTCGTATGCGAGTAGCTTTGCTAGGTTGGTTCTCTCCTACTACTCTTCCCAGTAGACCGAGGCAGTTGTGATTTTTTAATCGCCTTCGTAGCGTCTGTTATGTTATCCGCAAGTACATTTCAAATCGACCACGTGATGCCAATGTTGTACCACGTGGAAAAGTTTTTACACCACGTGATCAAACTTCAGTCAAGTTTCAATCACGGAGTAAAAAAACTTGTCCACGTGGTACAACATTGGCATCACGTGTTCGATTTGAAATGTACTTCCGCGGTTTTTCTGGTTCACCTTCCTCCGCGAAAACAAATTTCTAAATAAGTCAATTCCTATTCGATCATTGAACGACGGACGATATTTTATCCGAGCAAAAGTTATTGCTTTTTTTTTTTTTTTTTTTTTTTTTTTTTTAATCTTACCTCGTCAGAGCACATGTAATTTGTATTTTCGTGCCCATAACAATCTGGAAATCCATAAAAACCCCACTTCGCCTTCGGTCGCAGGAACTTCCCAAGCTTCAGCGTCTCGTGCATCATCCTTTGTGCATGGTTTTCAAACTGGTATTGAGCCTGCTCAACCAGTTGCTCCATTGACCAATCAGGATGCTGGGATCTCAAAATCTCGATCGACCGGGTCTGGTAGATTTTCTTGGATCCCCAGTTACGACTCCATATTGGTCTCCAGCCCTCCCAATCAATAACGGCCAGTCCATTGAAGTGGGGGTCTGGTATTCGTTTGATAATGTCTTTCGTGGATTTCCTGATATGGATATTCAAGTCTACTAACTTGAAATAGGAAAGAAATATTTAATGAACAGCCGTATACGATCTAAATAAACCATTTTCGAGTTCCAAATTACCGCTGTGTTCCTTGATTACAGACTCAGCTCATTGACTCGGGGTTAGCCGCGTATCGGTATGTAATAAGGGTAATAGACCCTTTGCCAAATTGGTGACCACATATTCGAGTTAAAATTAAACTGAGTGAAAAACCAATACCAAAAACCAATAGGTGTCTGGGATGGGTCGCAAAAAATAAAAAATTAGTGAACAGGTGTTACGTCAACTCGATAAGGCGTAAAATTAGGATCGGTTTTTCTGGTTACAACTTCCACAGCTGGGGAAAAAGAATTTCAGTGGGAAAAACTTCACTTTGTAGGGTTACTAAAGTAAAGGTGCTCTTTCTAGTGCTGGTATTGGTTTTTTAATTTAACTCATTTCAATTTTCGGCCGCCATGTTTGGCAAATGGTCTATTTGGAACTCCAAAATGGTCTGTTGAGGCTAGGTGTCTGGGACGGGTCGCAAAAAATAAAAATTAGTGGACAGGTGTTACGTCAACTCGATAAGGCGTAAAATTAGGATCGGTTTTTCGGGTTACAACTTCAAATGGTGAAAATAATTTCAGTGAGAACGTCTAAGACAAAAGAAGGCCACATTTTTCAAGAGTATCTTATATAAAATGAACCATGAAATATTCGTCACATCTTCGAACGTGGCATTTCTTTGAGAACCTACTGGAAGATTTGTACATTGAGTGTTTATTATTGACGAATGTAAAATGTATACAAAATTAGAGTACAGTCTAATTGAGGTCATAATCTTTTTTAAAAATAAATTGACGATGATTTTTGTGAATCAGTATTCTGGAAATTTCTACCGTTTAGATGGACAAGAAGATATAGTTAAGTGACTGCTGTATTTGTTAATCAGAATCAGCGACCGAAAACGACCGATCAGCTTTGGTTCATCAAGCAGTTAAAGGTAATTGCCATGTTATGACACCTTACCTGGGGCATCCCGCCATTGTGGTTGTTCGTTCCTTCAGCGTTAGTAAAATATGGATAGTAGCCCAATTGAGCATTGTAGAATACAACCACATATTTCCCATTCCAAGTTTGCTGTGGGTTGGATAATATTTTAAAGTCACCAAGTTCTATAGGAATACTGAAATTTTTCGAACAGCCACCTGTCGGGGCATTCCATAGTGCCATGAACGGTTTGCCATCGATGGGAAAATCTTCACATTTACAAAACGTCGCTTTACCCTCGTTAAAACCTGTTAAATGTCCACGGCCAATGAGTAGAACAATCTCCAGGAGAATTAATAGGGAATATACGTTTTTTTCCATGTCTGGAATTTTCCATTCTTGGTTATTTTGGCATCATTTTTCAGGGTCTTTTATCTTTTAGTGTTTTGATATTGTGACCTGTTTGTAAACTATGATGTAAGAATGGCTTATGGTTCATTTGACGCTGTTAGCTGTTGCTGTGGTAACGGTTCTGGTTACCTGCTTGGTTTGTGAAGCATGAGAAAAGAAAGAAAGAAGGAAGGAAGGAAGGACTGATTACTTGTAATGTATTTGTAATTTTTTGTATTCCTGATGATGGCCCATCGACCCGAAAGCTTGGTAATAAAAATCAGCAATTTTGGTAGAAGAAACGTCCATCTTACAAATGTCCATACCAACGAAGAGAGTTGATTACTTTGGATTATTTGAGCCCACGAGCGTTCGCAATCTAAAAACTGCTCTATTACAGTGGCAACCTTAAAAAAAAAAAAAGAAAAAAAGAAAAGAAAAAAAAGAAAAATACATTCACCAAAGAAATCTGGCTTTTGGAATATGTCCGAAAAAGTGCATTTAAAAAAAGGAAACTTTGCACAACATTAATAACATTTTAAACTCCCTGCAAAGTCCTGACATAGTAGGAAGACTTAAATGATCACAGCAAACCAAGAGAGCACGACGGAATGAAATTCGTTCTGCCGTGCTCCCTTAAGCAAAAGTAACAAGGAGAGGAAGGGGAAGAAGAAAGAAGGGAGATAGGAAAGAAAGAAAATAAACGAATAAACGAATGTATAAATGAATGAAGCGAAAAAAGGTAGTTCCTTCGGTAGTTCCTTCAGAAGCCACGCTCGTGGGAAGGGAACTCCTTTGCGTGACATACACTAAGAACGTCTGCGTGGGAGGCTATATTCTTTTAGCTGCGTGTCTGGTACTCCAGGAAGCCGACAGTGCGCACGCACTTTATACGCCGCTGTCCATCAGTGCTCTGTCTTAAGAAGAGTATTCAAAGGTGAAGACGGATTAGAGATAAGTCAAAGCAGACTGGAGATCGATCTTGAGGATCGAACTATGGACCTCTAGCACAGAAGGGCTTGCACTAATATGCCTTGCACAGCTAACCGAGCTTCGCCTATTCCTGCGAAAAGTATGTATTATATTGAACCGGCGCTATTGCCTCACGCTGATGTGAAAATGGAAGTGCTCTTGCTGCTTAACCGCTAAACCACAACCCCTTTTTAAAATCATCCGTCCTGCATGATCCGTATTAGTTAACACCTAGCTAGTATCTCATCAGCTTGTCTTTCATAGTAGCGTTAACGTTATTTTCGGCATCTTCATAGCGATGACAGTCGGTCTTGCCTTTGGTTTTATTCTTTTCGCTGGTATTTCTGACTTGGGCGTCGTCGGAACCGTTTTGAAAACTGCTCCACAAGGTAGGATAATGATGTTGAATGGAATGTATGGAATTGGGTTGTTATATTCGTTAAGAAAAGACCAGATGAACTGGAGAAAAGACAAGGGAAGAAAAATAAACTGGGAGCAGGAAAAGGAAGAACGAAAAAAGAGAGAGAAAACTTAAAAGAAAAGAAACAGAGAAAATTGTGTGTAAATAAATACAGCGCTTTGCAAAAATTTTGTGAATAAAATGAATATCGATACATCTCTGTATCGGGTGCATTATGGGTAATTTCGATTTTAAATAACGTTTTAATAAAGACTGAATACAATGTTTTCAGTGAAATATAATCATAGTTACATTGTAAACATTAATAATAGATATCTGGCTAACTTTTGGTTGAAAATCGTTTTATTTAAAAAATCTGGAAATATGCAAATTAGTTATATAGACATACCAGACTTTGCAGAATTTTGCAAATCGCTATATTTATGCATATATACATATATATGCAGAATTTTTGTGAACAACCACTATATATATATTATATATAAATGACAATCAGAGTACACCGTAAATTACAATGTGTTTAGTAAAACCATATTTCAGCAAGCCATTACTTGCCTTTTTCAGCCGGTAATGAAGAGAAGAAATTGCATTGGTATAAGACAATAATAATATATATACGAACTCGAGTCGTACATGAGCTCATAGCCAACGAGACCTCAGTCCTGGTTGAGTTGGCTATGAGATTATGTACGAGGAGAGTGACTGGAATAATAACTACTGGATGAAATATTTTTAAAAACTTGTCGGTAGCTGCACGAATGGACTTCAATTCTTTTTGTGGTTTGGTGAAATGAGCCATCTTGTTGTCTAGCCGGGTTGTTAATTGCTTTCGTAAATTGCTTTATTTAACTTTGTTTTAGTCACGTGTTTATTAAATTTAGATGTGCCATTTTTCAGTCTAGGAACAAAGAGCTTTATCAGTCATTAAAAAATGGTTTTTATTTTCGTTTTGGTTTCCGTTACGTTTAGAAATTTTTGTATTAAGATAGTTATTAAAAGTTAGCCTCTCTTTCTTTCTTTCTCTCTTTCTCTCTTTCTTTCTTCCTTCCTTCCTTTCTTTCTTTCTTTTGTTTGTTTGTTTCTTTTTTTCTCTCTTTCTTTCTTTCTTTCTTTCCTATCTTTTAGGGTTTTTTGTCCTCAAGCACAGCCTTTGTAGCCTCCTCAAAAAGTTGAGTAAATCGGTCGATGATACGATGATAGCCTAGTACCATAGTATCCAATCAGAGCGAGCGATTGCTCAGATCCAGTGGTTTTCTCTCTATATAAATATATGTAATAGGAAGAGAGAGAGCGATTATCAACGCTGTAGGAATTAAACATTTTTCTTTTTATTGAGTAGTATTGTTATTGGTGCTCGGCCATGGTACTATCCTTGCATCGCGAGCATACTATTGGTTAAAAAACGTTTACAGATTTATTTATACAGTATACGAGGAGAATAATTAATGGCCTGGGCACAAAGATAGGAAGTCACGAACGGCTTAAAGTTGTCCTTATACGATTAAAAGGGAAGGTGCTTGGTTTTTGTTTCACTCAAGACACCTAATCCCAATCATCCAAATAATATCCATTCCAAACCTAATAATAATCATTTTAATCATTAGCTCCACTGGATGAGTATTCGTGGTCTTGGTATTATGAATAGTCGAAATAGACCTACAATAGATTTGTAATTAAGGTTTATGAGTTAATTATAAAACCGTTGATATAAAGACAAACCAAAAACCACTAAACGTTTGAAACAACATGATAAACATTTCACATTTTTCTAGATTATTATTGTAAGACTAATCGTTGTGTATCTTGTTAATTTGTTTGTTTCCTCGAACGTTTGTTCGTTTATTTATGTCTAAACGTTAGGCGTACGTACGTTCGTCTGTTCGCTCTTCCGGTTGTCTAGTTTGTCGTCTAGTTCTCTCATTTGTTTGTTTGTCAGCTCGTTTGTCTGTTAGCTCGTTTGTCTGTTTTTCGTCTGTTCGTTCGTCTACTCGTTCGTCTGTTCGTCGACCTGTCGTTCGTCTGTTCGTTCGTCAGCTTGTTCGTCTGTCGTTCGTCTGTTCGTTCGTCAGCTTGTTCGTCTGTCGTTCGTCTGTTCGTTCGTCAGCTTGTTCGTCTGTCGTTCGTCTGTTCGTTCGTCTGTCGTTCGTCTGTCGTTCGTCTGTCGTTCGTCTGTTCGTTCGTCTACTCGTTCGTCTGTTCGTTCGTCTACTCGTTCGTCTGTTCGTCTGCTTGTTGTCTCATTTGCATCTGATTTGCATGCATCCATAATATCTGCTATTGAGCGTATTCTACAAAAAATGATATTACTTTGATGTACTGTTATAGATAGTGGCCATGGTCGACTGTCTAGTGGGATAAGTGTACGAATGATCAATGGAGAGAACGCAAGACCGCACGAGTTCCCTTGGCAAGTATCTATGCGCCTAAGACGAAGCAATAGGCACATCTGTGGAGGATCTCTTATCAGTCGTCATTTAGTGTTAACAGCTGCACACTGTGTCTTGATGAATCCATGCTTTTCAAAGTACAGTGTAGTTTTAGGTAAGTGGCTTATATTCCAAGTAGGGTACATGTGCAGTATTTTCCAAGTATGGCCGATAATTGATCGATCCCTGCTATGCTTGACTACACCAAACCAATGGAATACAGAATGTCCGTCCAACAAAATCGAATTTGTAAGATATTTAGGCCCCGTCCACACGTATCCGCAAATTTTATTTGGCGGATACGGGTTGCGTCCACACGTGTCCGCAAATTTCTGTGTCTGTATCCGCAAATTTTACGAAAACGGACACGTGTGGACGGTGAAAACGATTCGAATACGCTGCGTGTGGACGCACACATTTTCGCATCCGCAAAAAAAAATTTGCGGATACGAAAATTTGCGGATACGTGTGGACGGGGCCTTAGTAGTTATCGATTTTTTTCTTAATGTATACCCCTTTAGAATGCATTATCACGTGCATCAAGTGTATCGGCAGTGTATCCCAACATTGATGATATATTTAACTTTTTCAAAAAGGTTGAAGGTTTTGTTGGATGTTGCATACCAAACCCGAAATGTATTGTAATAACTTCAGCACAGAAGTAAATATGCCGGTAAATATTCCGGACAAAGTTTAGAAACATTCTAAATCTTTGTGGCCATTTGCTGATTGAATTCTCATCGCCCATAATGCAGTTCGGGCTTTGTATGCAACATGCAATATGCAACATGCAACATGCAACATGCAACATGCAACATGCAACATGCAACAT